CGTACCTCAGAATAAGACTGCCACACCTCAAAATTTAAGTTTTGAGAAAACGTATTTGGTTTGAACTTAAGATATTTTTAATGAGTTTTACTTATGCTTTAAATTTAATATTTAAATCATCTTCAATCATACTTTCAATATTAATTTTCAATCATTATGATACATCTCTAAACCTTAAAATTATGAGTTCATTTATAATTTTAAGTAAATCAAGATGCACAATTTTGATATGTGACTTGTATTGAACAGAATTGATTTCTTAGATGGCCACTTTATTAAACATAGGTATTGTATTTAAGACGTCATGAACATTTTCTATATAATGATGTGGTAACTGTTGAAATTACCAATGAGTAATAATTTATATTATAACTATTTATTAGTAACTTAAATTGATTAAGTGTTGTTTATTATGAATAGTATGATAATGGTATAGAGAAATAATAAATATCCAAACAAATTATTACAGTTGTTTTAATCATAGTTTAAAAATTATTATTAAAATAAAATTAAAAATGATTACCTGTTCATCAAGTGAACTTATTTTTGAAAAAATCAACAAAATATGGTAATCAAACATACAAAATAAAAACCATTACTATTATAATTATCATGGATCTTATGATGAGTATAATAACATTAGAAATTGCAAATAATTTATAATTTTATAAATTAATCACTCTGTTGTTATTAGTATTATTAATTTCAGACACTTTAAGTTTTTATAAAAACATGCGTAGATCTCTTGGAACAAGCTTTATTCACATAATGAACATGTAAGCTTTTTAATTTGTGTGATTCAGCTCTTCAGAAATGCAATTTAATTGATGTTATGATTTTATTTTGAATTCTAGTTTTTTAAAATATAATTTCTTTAAAATTGTTTCTCCGAAGTTGTTTTATAAAGAATCTATCTGAATTCTTTGTTACTCAATACATTTCACATCTCCATAAAACAGTTTGACCTGTAGTGTTTTATTAAAATTGTTACAATATTCTTATCTAATTGCTAAAATCTCATAAATCTTTTATGTAGCTCATTTAATTGAATGGTTTTCCAGTTTTTGTTGTTTGATGACTGTAGCCTAGTAGGGGAGAAAATATTGACCCCTCTAAGTACAATTATCTTTTGTTTCTTCAATTGTAGAGTGTACTGAATCCTTCTATTTTGTGTGCCCTACTATCAAAATTTGGGGTAATAAGAGAAATCAGACTATAGTTAATAGCTATACAAGTACAATCCACATGAATTTATTCTTTTGGTTGGCCTGAAAATAGTTATCTGAATAAATAGTATCTTTCTAAGACAATTCCGGTATGAGATATTTGTAAATGCATGTATATTTTCATTGGCACCTCTTACCTTGATCTTCGTTCAAATACAAACAATACTTTATTTTCCCTAAACTATATATGTATAGTTAAATTGTAGGGCAAATTTTCTACATAATTAAAGTTGATATTGCAGCTGAGTGTTAGAAACACTTTAAATCATAACAAGATTCTACTTTCATATATTTCTTTAATAGCTTTTATCTTTTCTTTCAAACTTGATAATTTAGTTTCATTTTTTACAAGCTCTCAGTTGTAATTTGTTTTCAACATCAGAACTATTATTAATAACAGTTCAAAAAACACTGGTCTTTTTAAGTGACATAGAAACCTATGTTAAACTTAGTGTTGAACACATGAATGTTAGCTTACTGGTGATTATTATTTTCCACATTTTAATATATAATTATTATAAATATGTACCTCATATTATATAATATTATAGCATTACATACAACACCTACTGCCACAGCAAATACGTAACTGAACGAAAGGCTACCAATTTTCTCTTTGGCTTTCTGTGCTATCTCATGTTAGTGTCCTCCCTTACACGTTGTGACAATAATAATATACGTAGGTGCACATAAAATGTTTATATATATATATATATATATATATATACTGAGAGAAAAAATTTTGAATATCACTACATATACCTGTATCAGTTGCTATAGCCTATAGGGTTATTATTTTCCGTTTGATATAGCGAAGAAAACCAATTTAATATTATATAACATCTCAATCTAAAATATTTCTCAAATATCACCAATACAATTATTAATAAAAGAGAATTACAAAGAAAAACAATAAATATTGAGAATAACATATATTCTACCACATTATTTATAATTAAAACAATAACTTTTAATTAAGAAGATTATTAAGTTTTTGTTCTTCTCGTTTGTTAATCCGCACGTTTATAGAAATTACTCCCTTGTATATATTTCAATTTATTGGCTTTATATTTTAGGAATTAATCATGTTGTCGTCACGGTTATTAACTTCCTATTACAATATTAATTTCATAGATCAAGTTGAAATTTTACTTTTTAGGATAGTTTTATTAAAACTTTAAGTGATTATTAAAAAAAAAATATATTGAACAACGATTTTATAGTCATAATTTAATACAATTATTATTTGCGCAATTTTGTAATGTATTTAACCAACACTTTTTTTAACAGACGTTCTTATCACCGTGTTGATACGAAAACAATTTTAAGAGGGTTAAGGTATGCTTAAATAAGTTTTGAGTGTTGCATTATTACTTAAACCAACGTCATTATTTAAGAGGTTATCAAAGTTTATATTTATCATTACGCATGGTAGAATACAAGTTCTAGAGAGATGGACTGCTCTATGTATGAGTAAAGACTAAAGTGTTTACTTGTATATTATATATAGTTCGTAACACATGTTGTAATCTTAAAAGTTTTGTAAATTTTTAGCTGGGTTGATGGTTTTAGATTGGTACTTTGTAACTTCAATAACCAGACGTTTAATTTTTATACACCGAAAACTCCAAAATTATATTTTACTTGCAGTAACTTAATCAACTATTATAATAATCTTTATTATTTTGTATACTGAATGTGTAATTATAATTACATTTAAATACATTTCAGCATATTTTCTGCTCATAAGAATAAAAGAGTATACCGTATACTTAAATTTATATATTTTATTAAGGTTAATAGTGTTTGATATTATCTTTAAAATGTATTTTCATTTACAAGAAATAAAAGTAATCATTGTCAAATAATAAATTTTAATTTTAATTAAATGTGTATAATATATTAATATAACTACATGATTGTTCTATTAATAATAATTAAATATTAATGAAAAAAAATTGTGGAATATACATGATTATTATATTTTCAATTCATTGTAAAGTCATATAAAACCTGGCCATAAATAGTTATCAAACTATTGGGAGCAAATCGGAGAGATTACTTGGTTAATAATGTAAGAACCTTATCACTGATAAAAATAAAAAAATAAATATTATCTTAAAGTATTAGCTATTATTAATAAATACATGTTTAATTTTATTTATAACAAATAACTATTTACCAAGTATCTATGTAGTATTGAAGTGTTAAAAATGTTTGTATTGGTAAGTTTTTTAGGTATGGTGTGAAGGTTCTATATGTTATCGAATATTTAAGCCCCTATTCCCTAATGTTTACCAAGATCTTTACTATGCGAAGGCTCATTCGACAACCAGCTTAGGTGTTTCTCAGCATAATTTACACGTATTATAGAGCGTCTATAATATTATAATATTACAAGCACATAATATAATAATAATATAATGTAAAGAAGTTGTGCGAACGATTTATATTACTAATGTAGGTGTGAAATATTGTGAAATGTTTATGCGAATATTTTATTTTTCACTTTTTTATGGAAAAAGTCTAACGCCATAACAATATACGCGTATACGATACATATTATAATATTATTTGAGGGTTGCGGTTTAGAGATTTAGACGAGCAATAATTCACGTAGTTCTCATAACTATTATAATATTATCGTCAGAGCTAGATAGATACAACAACTATGCGTGTGTGTCTATAACACTACGGATGTTTGTAAAAATCTTATCATGTACATAATCATGTTAAAAGCCACGTTGAACTTAAAAAAAATAATTATTAGGTTGCAGGAGTAGGCTACGCCGAAAAATGGTCAAGAGTTTTCTTCAAATGTGTATAACAGAAGAATATTCTTTTTGGTTATTTTACAAATCCAAAAACTTTAAACAAAATACACCTTAAAATTAAATTATGTATTTCTTTTTACAATTTAAACGTAGTATTACGATGTTTCCCTTAATTAAGAAAGAACTATTTCCCCGTTATCGATACCAGTACGTTATTTTGAATTTTACTCTGCATTCTTGCTAATTGATAAATTATTAATCTCAAGTATAAATATATATTGATTTCTTTTTATATTGAACGATATATTTGAATAAACTTTTTAATCATCAATGCATATACTAGGGTGATTATTTTACAAGAATCATTTGATTTATTGAAACCAATAAAACTTTGATTTTTTTTTTCAATTACGTAAAATAAATACTTGAAACTATAAACTAAAATATTTATTTAAATTAATTTAATAATTAAATAGTTAAGTAGATAATTGTTTAAACTATTTTTATTCCAAAAAGACTTTTATCTCTAAAAAACTTATCTTTCAAACTAAAAACGAAAAGAGATATTTGATTATGTTCATAAACATACTAATAAACTCTCTAATAATCAGTTAATTAAAAAAAAAAAAATATTTGCTCTACTTATTAATTTTAATTTTTATGTATTACGTAATAAAATTATCTAGTTTTAGATGCTATTTTTTTGATCAATTAAAATGATAATATATAGATTAACATTTGTTTAAATTGTAGATATACACATTTTAAGTCATATTTATAAAATCACTTAACTATTATTTTAACTTATTATAAATTAAAATTATAGGTAAAAAATAGAAAAATAATGAACGATTTCCCATAATATTTAATATAAGAAGTCCAAAAATAGTCAGGTCTCTGTACTCCAGGCCTAACCACCCCTTTCATGAGCGTCCTAGTTGAAAATTAACTTTACATTTAAATGAAAAAAATATATGTTATGAAAAAGGAATGTATTAATTTTCTCAATTTGTGGGAAATAATAATACGTATGACATTATAATGGATGGGATAAAATAATTTTCAAGTACCACTTATTATAATCAAAGCGGTTTTTAACACTTACAATGTCATAGATTATTGGTTTTAACACAAAATATCTGTGTACTTTATTTTATCCATAAAATGTGTCATAAATCAAAATGAATTCTAGAAAATACCAATTTTCCTATGTTATAAATATACACGTTGGTATACTGTTTATGAGTAATTAAGCCCAATTTAACTTGTATTGTTCGATGTAAAAATGTTCATGTCACAGTCTTTTGAATAAATGTTTTTATATCTGCCAATTCCTGTAAATATAAACAAATTGCTTATTAATTATAGTTGACGTTATGTGATTTATTATGAATGTACGAGTATATTGTATAAATATAAATATTTTAATTAAATAGGTACCTATAGGTTTTTTTTTAAGATAAACATTGAAACTTAAATATACATTTTCTTATTTAATTGTTTACTTTTATTGTTCTCAATTTCAAGCTAGACTGTAAAGTTAATTAGAACAAAAGTTATAAGGACTAATCAAATGAAAAATGTGTATTTTAAAAGCTTAAATATGCAAAAAAAAAAAATATCTTAGCTATATATCACGTATTTATAATGAAATATTACTTTTTATTTTTAGAAATTTAATAAATATAACATCATTCAGATTCTTCACTTACTTTTTCATTAGTACGATGTAACAAACCTTCGTAGCTAGTGAATTGGCTTTTGGTGGTAAATTCTTTTAATATTTCTGATGTTCTTGTTCCCCATACATAAGGTATTACAGGGTCTTCTGTTCCATGACATTGGAATATTGGTATATTGGTATTATTCGTGGCCGCCTAATGATAAAAAAAGAATTATGTATTTAATATACAAATTTGGATATGAAAAATAAATATGCATCACAATAGTAATGTTACTAAAGAATCATGATGGCTAATTTTGATCCAATTTTATATTATGATACATTAGTATTTTTAAAAGTTTAAAAACTACGTGTTATTACTTATTAGTTCGAGGTTAAAATATGTTCACTATGAAAAATCAAAATCGTGGCCTACCTAAACGTTTGTTACCTATAATTTTCTATCTAAAGTTCATCTGCTACATTATAAAAAGCAAATTAATGATCTATATTTAAATATTATTTTCAGTAAGAATGATTGCTTATCTTATATATATATACTTCACAATTAAGAACATTATCATGAATCATTTGTGAAAATAACTTTTCACGAATACGCAATAGTAAAAGGATTTAAGAGTTAATTATTGTTTAAAGGATTACTATTTTTCAAAATTCTTTGCAACGAAAAAGTTTTTTATTCGTCTTGTAAAGTGAAAAAATTAAAATTGGTCGTGATGATTCTCAATTGAAGTTATAAAACGCATGATATCCCGATAAGTGGAGATATATAGTCAATAATTTATAGTTAAACATTATAATTCAAGAATTACTTATATGCTAATCTATTTTCATTGTATGTGTGTTTGTTTTTATTTTATTCATCTAGTTCAATTAATTAAGATTTTGAAAATATAAACTGAAATTCGACGAAATTTTTTTAATTATAGTTTAAAATAAGTTGACATCAATATAATATATTATAAATATTTTAATTTATAACTATGAGTCATTAATCTCATTGAATATATTTTAATATATATATATATAACTGTTATATAGGTACCTATATTGTATGAGAATTGTACAAGTCTTTTCAATAGTTTATATTTAATTTAAACAATATTAATTTAATTGTAAAATTTTGTAATCCATAAAAAGACCATTAGTTAAAAAAAAAAAAAAAAAAAAAAAATCAAGTTATTATTCAAGATAAAAAAAAATATACCTACTAATAAATAGTACATTAAAGTTTGGCTTTTGATTTAATTTATGATTTAGTTGCTTCTTACCGCGGATGGTAATAAATAGGCGATAAAAACGTTACCGTAATAAATTAGCTATTATAAAATTATAAAACCAAGAATAATTAATGCTATTAAAAAAATAATTTTATTAAAATCAAATATATAATTTATTTTTAAGCGTATTATTTAGTTATGTTATCAACAATGAATAAATTATATTTTAAATGATATCATAGCTTCAAATGGAGATCATTTTAAAGAAATAATATGAAATTTTCTTGGTGTGTTTTAAATGTTACATAACCAATTGAATTCTTAATGGAAATTTAATAAATCCATTTTTAAAATATTAACATATATTAAATTAATAAATTAAGTATTTTAGGTTTTTAGATTTTAAATTTATTCGTAGTCAGTAAGAGGTTCTATTAAACATTTTACTATTAGTATCTAATACAGTAAAAATAATAAGCGCCTAATAACAATAACAAATCATAAATAGTGTTTAAAAAACAAGGTGTGCAATAAAATTGGTTTTTAATGTACTTCGTAATTTAGTAGATCATTGTAATAGAAATGTATAATTTTAAAAATGATTAATCATTTTATATAAAAGAAACATGTGAATCAATAGACGGCTAAGCATTAGCTAAAAAAAGAATATTTTTGGGTATTATCATTCACTTAGATATTAAATCGATTTAAAGTTTTAATAATTATATAAATTATATAATTAATTTACCCCATGGTAGATGCGACACATATATATTATTCTAAATCAGTTAAATTTTAAATAAATTGTACGATTTATTGATAGTCTATTATAATTTTATGACTAGAGCAGTGATTCCGACTTAGCAATGTTTGCCGAAAATAGCTTTATACAATCGTTCGTTTTGTTATATTTTTGTTTCTTATACGTATTTTGGTATAAGAATAATAACTTATTGTTTTTTATTTTAAACAATAATTGTTCATGTTTAAATAATTAAAAAAAAATGTTTTAAGCTTTTTAGGATTTTTAAGTCATCTAACACTAAAATCTAATTTTAAAATGTATACGACGTATATGTCATGTTAACAAGGTTTAAATATAAATATTTTAAAAATAAAAGTTATTTATCATTCGAAAATAGTGATATTTTGAAAAAATAAAATGTACCTACCTATCTACCAAGATAACATAAGTACTTAGGCTACTTTCAACTAATTTATTTTTCAATAATACGAATTTATAACGTCGAAATTGATGTACATGTCACTCATCATTACTTTATTCTTATACATCAAACATGAATGAAATATCTGTGTTTATTATTTTATTCAACATTTTTTTTTTTTTTAAAGAATAAAATTTTTATTTAAGGGCATATTTAAAAACTAATTGGGAAATTAGATTTTCAGTCCTAATTATTACTCACATCTGGGAAAGTCTTGTGTAATGGTATCCAACAAGACAGGATCAAAATTCCGGCTAATGGCCTGTGGTACGTAAGTGCAGCGTACAGAGCCAGCGCTCCGCCTTGTGAAAAACCACCCAGCAACAATTTCTTTGGCGGCAATCGCGTTTTAGCCAATTCCTCGTCCAACAACGCGTGTACGTTGTCCACAGCACGCAATATTTCCGATTCATTTTCCGGCGCGTCTTCATTCAAAGTAGACAAGTCAAACCACGCGGGCATCGCGAAACCTTTGTTTAACGTTAATGGTATCTTGGGACTTGAAAATACAATGTTAAAAAAAATAAATAATTTGTTATTACTATTGCTATATACTGTTACCATAATAATATTGTTAAAAAAATCAAAAAAATCGATTTATCAATCGATTCATAGTATATAGTAACGTGGTGTTTAGTTTAAAATAAATTATTTTTAGCATTTGCCAGTGGCGTATACATATAGCTTTTATATAATAGGAAGGAGAGACTAGTAAAAAATATTTCTAAACTATAACAGAAAACTAGGCATTTTGAAGTACTTGTATAACACTAAAATAGACTATAATTTTATAAAATATTAATTTTTTTAAGCCTTAACCTCCCAAATTCAATGATTTAATGATGCCTATATTGAAATAAAGTTATCATGATATTTATTTATTATGATAAAAGTGCTTAAATTTTAATATTTAAATTATTACGTTTAACTATTAACGTTTAGACTCAGTAATGACACATTAAATCTAACGAGTTAAATATGTTTATGCAAACAAACTTTAAAGGCATTACAGCATTATTTTAGAGTAAAAATATGTATACGATTTATAGAAAACAGTATTTCGGAAATACTTTTAAAGGAATTTTAAACACAAAAATCTTATTATTTTTTTTATTGACTATTACCTTTCAATAACTAATTTTTGAAAATGTGCGATATAATTGTTTCTATAATTCTCTAAAAGTATTATAATCGGCAATGTTTTTAATCTAAAACTAATTTTTAATTATATTTTGTTTGTTTTGTGTGGACATGTTGTTATGTTAAAAACGGATTGGTTTAATATATTTTAAACAATTGATGGTAAAATTGATAATCAAATCTGTTGTCTATAACTTGTGTATAATAATAATATACTATAGGGACTAACATACATATAATTTTATATAATACTGGTATTAATGTATTATAAATATTTATTAATTATAATTAGGAATCGGAAGTTGATGACTTTAAAAACAATAAAAAATTACCTAAAAAAATATATGCAATTATAACATAAAAATTGCAAAAAATGTCCTAAAAAAATACAAATATTAGTTTTATATTAATAAAAATACATTTTTTTTTTAAATATTTTACTCTATTTTACTATAAAATTCAAAATATGAAATAAAAATGACAAAAATGTCTTTAAAATAGGAAAATAAAAAAATAAAAAATATTTGTTTTATAAATTTATCAAAGTTTACAAATTATTTAAAAATCAAAATCATTATGACAACGACAAATGTAATCGTCGAGATAAAATTGGATAGGTACTAATCTTAGTCTGTGGTGATTTCCATGTTTTAAGTTATCGGCATAATGGTTGACAAGAAACAATAAGAAATAAACTAGTGTGAAATCAGAAAAAATGACTAAAAATGTGAGAAAATTACCTAAAATTGTCAAAAAATGATTTAAAAAGTAATAAACAACAAAAAATGCAAAAAATGCAAAATAAAAATTAGTTATTCAGATTCACATGCTTATGAAGCAGATTTGTGGCCAGAAGAGATTTGTCTAAAAAGTTCAAAAAAAAAAAAAAAATGCAAAATGCATCAACTTCCGAGCTCTAATTATAATAAAACATGTTAATTAAAAAAAAGAAAATTATTTTATAAAACTCAAAAAAATAAAAAGTTATAGCGATCTGATATCCCTTTTATTATTGTATAAGCCACTGGTTTTTGTACGATATATTTTGTAAAGTAAACTCACGCAGAAGGGCAGATAATCTTCGTACCTGGTTTGCGTAAATTTGTCAATAACTCAGCCCAAATGTTTCTGAAAAAAGCATGATTACAAAAGTACAAAATATGATATAAATATGCCAATTTTCAAGAATTCATTGTTACTGTTTTTTTTTTTTAACAGTTTTTAAGAACAAAATTTAAAAACGAAATATCAAATATCAGTATCAAATAATCAATAATAATCTAAACCAATAGAAATTTAAAAATAAACTATTAAAAAAAAATAACACTAAAATATTATAGTAAACTATAACTATAACTAAATTTGTAGTAAATTTTCTTACAATTTAAATTTTTAAATACTTTTTAGATTACTTCTATTAACTTTTTTTGTTGTAAAAAAAAGTAGATATTCTATATGTTTCTATATAAAAAAATTAATTATATATTGGAAGCAACGCTCAGATAAAACTTTTAAGAGGGTAGATACGCAATATTTCATTAAATTTCAGAAAATTACAATGAATTTTTACAGTTTAATAACGTTTTATAAATATCTTGAAGTTATTTCTTTTTTTTGTTTAACAAAAACGCCCTATATAGCTTTTTATTACGAAAAAAATCAGAGTTTTTATCAATATTTAAAGCTTTGTAAGTGTTTTTGAATTACCCAGATTCACCAAGACCGTGGAAAAAAATAATCTGTAAACAAAAAAAAAAAAAGTATAAATTAATCTATCAAACAAACAAAATTACAGTTTTAAGTATATAATTTTGTACTAAATGATCTGTGTATTATACGGATAAATAAATAAACTATGCTTCTGATCACATTATCTACTTTATATAAAATATTGATTATGTTTTTTCTTCGATAATAATAATTATTAAAATAACATTGTATTTCATGGCTTGACCCACAAACCGAGAAGAAATAGCCTATCTTGGGAAAATGAAATAGGGATGAGTATACATATACTCTTCTGGTAAATGGAAGTATAACATTACTAGTTAAATTAAGTATGACAGATAGCTGCAACTTACGCCTAACGGAATCAATATTTTTTCGTTTTGTTATAATAGTATATTTTTTTTTTTTTTGTGTGCATAATACATGTCTTAGATTAAATTAATGACAACTATTTAATATTTATGAAGTAGAAAATACTGATAAATAGAAAATAATTGCATGAACCAACATAATTTTGTATTTGTATTTTTAATATTAATTCAACATCTTTAGTTTTATTCAAATGTTATACATAAATTCATACAGGTAAAAGAGAAAAATCTAATTAATTGAAATGACTTTGAAGTTTAAAAATACATAACATAAAAATAAATTTTAAATTATTGGCTATAAATTATAATTATAATTATTGAAGGTACTTTTACTCAGTATTTTAAATTAATATTAAATTGTTAATACGTATAATTATATATCTTAGTTAATTTTTTTTTAAATTTATTTATGTTTTAACCTTGATAAACTTATACACAAATGCTATCTCGATATTCATTATTTTAAATGTGTAAGAAATAAGATAGATTTTGTATTTAATTCAAAGAATTGTAAATGATTTATTTTATAATGAATTCACTATTAATGGATTTAGTTATGTTTTACTTGAAAATTATACTTCTATTAGTTTTAAAGTTGTAGTACATTGTTTGTACATAATATATTTATAAATAAGTTTTAATCTGCCGTGAGGGACATAACTAACTACTACGAACTTGGCTATTTTGTCTATTTCAATAAAACACTGTTTATTAATTTTATTGACATAAAGTCAATACGATTTTGAAAACAGTATTTAAAAACTACAGCTCTAATGAATATACTATTATTTTTCACTCATAAACTAGGTATATGTGTAATTAATTGTACATAATTTTATCATATCGGTACATTGGATTCATCTTAAGTATAAATATAACAAAAATATAACATGTTTTTATATTCCTACTACAATGATAAAATGATAAATATGTATATTTAATAAATGCTTCTACATATGAATATCGAGTTAAAATAAAATGAATACATATATTATATAATTATTATATAAAGTAAAAGTAATAATACTGTCGAGTAACAATTAAGTAAACTTTAAAAATATTTAAACAGATAAATTAATTGTGTAAGTAATATTGAATAATTATCTAATTTAACGTCTCCCATAAATAGTTTAAATTGCATGTTTTTTTTTTTTTATAATTTATAATTAAATATACTAAAATAATTTAAAATTCGATAAGCATAAAAAAAACTGTGTGGTAGGTACTAAGTACGTATTAGTTAATAAAAACCACCACTGGATCGTTATTTGATTATAAATATAATCAATTATATTGAAATTTAAAATAACGTGTCAATTGAAATATACTAAAACTTTTTACTTCCAATAAAAGAATGCTAATAATATGCTATAATAATAATAAAATATCAATAATAATTTCAATAAAATTGTTTTAAAGTTGAGTTTGGGAATTAAATTGTTTGTAAATGAATCCCCTAGTAAATTAAACAATGATAAATATAATATATTTTGATACTAGACTTGACACAGAACTATTGCTATTTCAAAACAATGCTTTGGAAACTAGAGACAAAAATGATTTCATGTATTGTAATTTTGTATTCAATTTTGAAAATGATAAAGTTTTTTTTTTTTAATACAATTTATACAATTCAATTTTTTTTTATTATACATTTAATATCATAATGGAGTTTGGTGTATTATGACGCATATTTTGATAAACTAATAAAAGTGCAATAACGATGCGTAATTTATAAACTTTAAGTTCAAATTTAAATATTACATAATTCAATATTTGTACACATTAAATAAGTTAAGTTTTTTAAATTAAATATCAGAATAATAATTAAACAACTGTTTTGACACATAAGACATAACATAGTAAATTTTTAAATTTTAAAATAAGTTTAATTTATCTGTATCTACTAATCTACTATATTTATTAATAATATCAACGTAGTATAAAAATAATAACAACTAATATTACATTAAGTTAACATACTACGTTTTCAATATTTTTTTAGTAATCTGGTCGATCGTGTTTAATAATAATATAGTAGATATTATGTTTTTCACTCGTTTTATTAAGTTTAGTATTCAACGAAATTATCTTCGTTTTATTTTAACAATTACATTGCATGTGTAAGTATTATCCAGAGTATTTTCTCATGATTAAGCAAATCTTTAATTAAATTTAAATCGTTGTAGACTTGACTTTTTACACAAATCTAACACGCCGATTTCCTTTGAAACATTTTAATGCACAAAATATATGGAAGACCCTAGCATATTGTTAAATACGTTTATCTATTCCCTCGGTACCTAATGATAAGTTTGACGAGCAAACAAATTAATAATTGTATACATCGTATACAAATTAATTTCGTATATATTTCTCAGATACAATATACGATTCCGCTCTTCTAAATTCTAGCACTAGTTTTAAAATAGTTTAAATTAAAATGCAAATAAAATATCGGTAAGTTTATTTTGTCACTTATATTTTTTTACTGCAAATTTATATTTTTATTTTATGGTTTTCATGTTGGTTATATTAAAAATAGGTAAGACCGTAAAGTTAGGTAAAAATCCTAGTGAGAAACTAATTCAAATGCCGTACGTGACAGGGACGTTTGTAAGTTTGTTATTTTACTATTAAAACCGCTACAAAGCTATATTTTCATTAAAACGATAACGTTACGTAATACATAATTGATTTTAGATGAAAAAAAAAAAAAACCTTTTTGAAGTGATATTATTACTTACCGTTGATGTGTGTTTGCCCACTGGGGCTATAGTTACCATATCGTAGGTTGACATTGTATGAACACAATAATTACAATAATATTATTAAAGATATAAAACGCGATAGAAGACCCTTTAATGTTGACAAAAAAACCAAATTTACTCAATTTTAAATGTTGTAAATGTGACGAGATGGCTATTAATTCCTAATAACCCAATCGAAACGTCCGAACGTCGGCGTGTGTCTAACACGAGTGTTGTTAGGTACATACTACATACGATATATTATGTGCTCGGTATCGCCGCAATGCCACCGATAAAACAACTCTATTATTTATTGTATTGCATCGGTTAGATTCTTTAATACCGAACTGATTACAGTTTGACCTTAGAATCTTTCGTTGTAAATTGGTCTGGTTTATCGTAACAGACATACGTCGCAAACACCAAACTCCTCGGTTAGGTAACCTATCATATTTTATAGGTATATTATTATTTTATAGAGCAACGCTGATAATATGACGACTGTTATAACAATATTGTGGTATACCCACTTGGCCATTAAATAATATGTATATTGTATACCTATTATTGTGAGCGACATATTATTATACTCATTCAACACGGGCCGATCTTGTATCGTCATGTGTGTGAGTGTGTTGTGTGTGTGTTGACTTTGCCGATGAAAAATATTTTATATTCTATTTCGTCGTACTTTCAAATGTATACCATATTATTTTCTAGTGTAATAATATTCAAACCCTATCGCTTATGTTTTTGTTTGTTCGTTAATAAACAGTTATTAACAACGTAAAATGTTATTAAAAATAAATCGTGAAAAATAGCGTACTAAAACTATTATAATATTATCAATTTAACCTTTTAAAAAGTCAAATTTCTGTTTGATATCCATTTGTTGACTCGGTAGATTTAATACTGCATGATAATGTTTTACTATATGAAAAATGAACTACCGGTTAGACTATTCAACAGTAACTACATTTATCTATTACCTATATATCGGCAATAAATATACCAATAATTTAATACATATATCAATTCAAATGAATACTTTTCATATTTCGCCACGCGTTTAAAATGTTTAATAAGCAGCAAATGAATATCAAAGAGTTATTATACTGTACTGATCATCACGACATATACACATGTCTATATTTATAAACACACCGTATATAATATAAGATATAAAATATAAACGAACCATTTCCTATGAAATCAGAATATTAATTTCCACTTTGTCATTTATTTATTCATAAATATTTACGTTAATATACACTTATATGAATATATATATATATAGGTATATATAAACAATTATATCTACAAATATTGCATTTATTTTTATCACGATATATACGATATATATTTTGTAATCTATATCTACTGATTTAATAAAACACAAAAAAAATAAATGAATTGAATTGTTTATATAATGTTATAGTTCAATAAAATTTCAACACAAACGGTGAACCCACGTTATTGATAGTATCGTTTTGTTGAATATCTGTTGTGTTTCTTGATTGGTCGATGATTTAAGATTAATTTCAGTTTTGACTTAATGTTTTTCGATTACCATTACATAAAATATATAATTTGTATTGTACCCTTTAGAAGGTAATAGTGAAAAAAAAATCGTTATCATTTCATAAAGTCTTATCTTTGGGCGTTTTAACTCGGTCTGGTGACGCTTTCACGGTCGAACGACCAAGTGTAAATTTTTAATTAACATTGAACATTGAACGAAGAATACTGCCATCGTAATGGATTTTTAGCGGGTTGGCTGCGGCAGTGCTATCAATAGCGAAAATCTTTCGGTTTTCCCAGTGATGTCTAATAAAATTTTTTTTTAATCGCAAACGATATCGGTGCTCACGTCGACATTAATAATTCACAACCAGTATTATTAGCGAATGTACAACGCCATCTAGTAAACCAGTTTGACGACCTACACAACTGAACGAACACGACGTCGGTACGATAAATTATTATATATTTATACGCTGTACACACATAAATATATAGATAATATACGAACTACATTTTTACCGGTCGTTACACTGTTATTCCGCTATTACAATTATTCGTTTCTGAGTTGCATGACATTGGGTTTCTATCAAAATTCAAGGGTAAGAATAATTATTGGGAATGTATACGATTTACACAAGTATCTAATAATATGATATAACTATAAAACATTTGTTATCAACAAGTTACTCGCTATACATATTTTACAATATATAAAATAAGAAATCAATGTTTTATTTTTGAGGGAGACAAAAATAAATTATAGAAGTTATTAAACTATTAATGAACGTATTAATTTAATACAATTACATAATTCAACATAACCTCGTTTATTTTTTTATTTAATTATTATTATTATTGTTTTACTTTTTAGTGGGTTTACAATTTTGATGCAATGTCATTATTTAAATCATTACTTATTACTTAGTTATTATTTTTATCGTGTAATGATTACATTTAACTATCGTAGTTTCATCGTCTCTGATATAATTTAAGGAACAATGTAGAAATTTAAATAAGATTCACTATGGTTAATGCAAATAAATTATGCCATTTATTATGCTAATATGTCAATAAAATATACTATATATCTACAAAAAAAATAAATAAATATATTTCTAATGTAAATAATATATGATATGCAATTTTAATATCAAAATAAATGTTATTCCTTACCTAAAATATATTGTATAAATAAAAATACGATCTTTAAAATTCAAAAGTATTGAAAATGACTGTGTGAAAAAAAATAAATCGTATAAAATATATTTTTTTGATTAGCAATAAATTTCAATATATTTCACTTAGAAAATTAAAAACTTAAAAAGATTTACATTTTTGGATTTCTAGTATTAAACTAAAAAAATAAAATTTAAAATACTGAGTGATACAGCATGCTCAACCCCATTTTTTAATTTAATAATGAAATTATTTAAATTCTGATTTAAGAATTCTAACTAACTTTTAATTGTAATTAATTTGCAATTATGTAAATTTTAAGTTTCCTGTGGTGATACAAACTTGATTTTGTAAAAAAAATAAATACTAAAAACCGTATTTTAAAATACTTAGAATTTTTTCCTTTTAATGAGTGTCTTATTGTAGTTGTGATTTAAACATCTTTCTATTAAATGATTACTACACTATCCTCTATAAATTACATATCAAAATATAACTTTGATGGCGTGCATACATATTGAAATATATAATAATTATAATAATATTATAATTTATAATAGTTAATCGTATGAAAATTATTAATGTATAAATTAATTTTAAATCGAGGAACTAATAATAATATATAATATGTAAAATAAAACAAATAATATTGTGATCCAGTTATTAAACTGTAGATACAGTTTGTGTATAATTATATAAATCATTGATGAGAAAAAGAATAATATAAGAAATAGGAAAAGTAATTAAAATGCTTGATAGAAATTCCAAGTCGTTTGTATCTGAAAATATTATTGGAATTTAAGCATTTTTCATTATAAGTTCTCGTCCCGTTGTTTAATTATTTTATTCGTTCATTGTGAAATCGTTTTATATTAAATAAACGATAATGAATATTTTTGAGTCTAAATAGTGCACGACTGGCAGTTATATGTATTATGTTGAGTTTAAAAAGCGTATTCTAAAGTGTATTAATATTTATAAATAAATTAAAGAATTTTCAAAAATTCAAAATTGCTTCTTATAGCTTTTAATTTATCTTAATTAATTTTATTCTGATATTCTAATTGGACAAAAAAAAAAATAAAAATAATGCTTGTTAAAGTATTAAAAGCAAAAAATAGGTTTATATAAATACTTTAATGGATATTAAAATAATTAAACAACGTGATGCGACTAACCTTTTGAAGAGGTTTAAGTAAAAATGCAAAATAAAGACTATAATACCAGCTATATAATATACGAGTACAAGTATATATATATATATATATTAAAAATAAATTAATAGTATTATATAATACATCATTTTTATTTTTTAGTTTTAACGAAATCTGTACACAAGTTATGATAAAATATGTTATTAAAAGTCTTTTGAAATGATAAAATCGTATAGAATTATTTTAGAGTGCGAAAACACTGATGTTTGTAGAAACTCAATAGTAAATTATTATAGTTGAGTAATCTGATCGTTAAATAATTTGTTCGTTAGGTAATAATATTTTAGTTCATTCAATTTAGTAGAACACACTCAAATTTTCTTAGAAGTACAATAAAAATGAACTTTGTGCCACTTAAATAACGAACAAACAACTAACAAATTCACATGCACTGCTGTACGAGCACTTGTCTCAGTCGCATTTAAATTGTTTGTTTCTCGAATGTTCACATTATTATTAAATTCTTGAGACATTTTGAAGTATATAAAGTAAGAGGTACATGGCATAATTTAAAAATACTTATAGCCAACATATTTTACAGATTTATGGACAAAACGATAATGATAAATATATCCTAATAGTCTATATTATAATATACAATATACGAGTACATAGTACCATAACTACTAAGACACATATAATGCTGTAGTAGTGTGAGGTAGATTTAGTACTTACTCAAGAAACGTTTTAATTTTTAGTATACATTTTTTGGGGGGGGGGGGGTTAAGGTAATAATATCAAAAATGTTGGAAAGTCTATGCTAAGTATATTTAACGACAAATTCAAATATATTTTCAGATTTATTATCACTTCACTAGATCAATTGGTACATTTGGCAAAACACAATGCACATGTCTAAATTCGGCAGAAACAGATGGTATCAAATTCCCTTAAAGTGGTTATAAAAAGATTTTTCACATTACCTCGCAAATAGGATTTTATACTTAAATTAACTTTTAATTTATAATAATTTATTACAGTATATTTTTTATAAACACTTTTTTATTCAATAGTATGATTTAAGATTAACGATAAAAATGTTTTATTATCTAGAACAACCCCCCCCCCCCTAAAAAAAAATGTTATTTGTGTCCACGACAATAAATAATTGAATATCTCAAATTCGTGGTACAATAAGTTGTTTGATTGTGCATTGCATAATATTATGTAAAACGTAAGAATAATGCACAATATCCCTTTACGTTAGTCACGCGTCACCGTAGGAGTGTAGTGCGATTTACTTCCGACATACGATCACTATAGCATTTCCGATTCGTGATTTATCTTGTTCAGTATGTTTTCGCTTACCGTGTCGTGTTGTCATTATTTTGGGACGTTTTCTTTGACAGTTTCTGGGTGGTTTCCAAAAATTTCCAAGACGGTCAAGTCATTGCACGAAATCGGTCGGTTTTCATCCCCCCATGCCTTTTGCCGGTTGGTTAAACATGACACGACGATTTGGTCTGTGATTTTTCAAACTTGAAATCTGTTGTTCTGTATAATATTATTATAATATGTTCAACCTAATTATTGTCATAGTCCCTAAAATTGAAAAAGATAACATATTATTAAGCGTTACGACGATAATATTTACTGAGATGACAAACGGATTCATCACGTTTTCTACTAGTAAAAGTGTTTTTAGAAACAAAAATAAAAAAATCGCCACGCTCAGAATCCTGTTGTATTCTTAGTTTATCAAACATTATCAAACATAAAATATTTTTTTTTCTACACGATTTATCATTATTACTATAATATTATTTATTTATTTTTTTATTTATTATTATTAAAATATTTCAGCACATTAGGTGCTATTACAAGTACAGTACAGTAAGTTATAATTACAATTTCAAATTTAATTTTGATTTATTATTTAATCGAGCTATTCGTGCTATGCATGTATTAAATTACTAAGAAGTAAATATGGTATGTTCGTGATAAAGGTAATTTTGAGTTATTTTTTACATCGTTATAACTTATAACAAACAACAAACATACTCGTTCAACTAAAAACCTCAAATAACTCCAAATTATACATGTACATGGGTGACCCTGATGTAATGTGTGAATTTCACCATTACTCAAATGTCTTAAACGTTAAGTTGAGTGTGTTTAATTTTTAACAGTGTATCGTCATTCGAATAGAAAACGTCCATGAGATAACAGTAAAATGCGCAATTGGATTGTCTATTGAATATTTTATTTATTGTTTTATACGTGCGTAGTATTTACTCATATTGTAAAGATTGTTAACAGTCGTTGACGAATTATTATCAAGATTGACCTTACTATATCCGTCATAAAATGTATTGAACGTATAGTGTACTTGTCTGTATTATATTATAGCACAAAAATCCTTAGTAGATTTTACAACTCCAATCATTTATTTGAGTGCATATTACATACGGTAATATACATTTTAATAACATCTATTATTTTTTTTTTGATGAAAATTTAATTTTGAATAGAACATTAAATTTAATATTAGGTACTATATATGGTATGTTTTTTTAATATGACATGTACATTTAAATTAAATACGTTTTTTATAATTAGCGTTAAATATATGTCATATCATCTAATTGCTAATAGTACTAATATTAAGCTATGTTATAGTATAAATTATAATCTTCTGTGATTGTGGCTATGTTTATATTAGGAACTTATAGACTTGAAACTACTTAAAAAAATGGCTACAAAATGTACACCCACATTCCTCGAGACACGAGGAATGTTTTTTGTTTCATTTTTCAACCAATAGAATTGCTATTATTGGTAATACAAACATAATATCTAAAAACGAAAATTCCAAATGGTATAGACTAGTCAACTCACTGTGTGTTGTTTATAGAGGGTTTTTTTGTAATAAAATAATATAATATCTATTTAAAGAATTATCTGTTATTTAAATGTACGACAAAAGGCAATGACGATATATTTGTAGCTTATACTGCACTCGAAACTACTTGATAAATTTTTATATAAGTTTCAGAGATTGTTCTTAAAGATATATTAAACAATTTTAGATACGAATAATATGTCGAGTGCTATTATATCCGATTTACCTCAGGCGAATGGCCAATACCGGTCGAATTAGTTGACGATATAATATATAGTGCCGTATCGTCCGTACTTGATGTTTGTTCGTTTTTATCAGACAAAGTCAGGATATTATACGACATACTGTGCAGTGTAAACATCGTCGTTCATTGATCTGTGAAAAATTCAAACGGCCCATCATATTATTGTTTATTATCCTCGGGATAATGATTTTATCCCGTAATGATATTCGTATCAAAAAAACTCGGTATATTATATTGTATGCTCGTGGAAGAGGTTTTGCTCTTGTCGCCCGCACTCGACAATAAACTACCGCGCTCGCACGACACACAACACAAACGTAAACATAACGCCAGTGACATTTGTGCTTTTCCAGCCGAGCGATCGTCAACAACCCGGACGTGACGCGAGCCACGCCGCTGACCGACATCTGGACCAACGACTTCTGGGGCACGCCGATCGGGTCGAGCAGCTCGCACGGGTCTTACCGGCCGCTGTGCGTGGCATCGTTCCGGCTGAACCACTGGACAGGCGGCCTGGACCCGAAGGGCTATCACGTGGCCAACGTGCTGCTGCACTGCGCCGTCACGTACCTGGTGTACGCCGTGTACCGGGCCCTGATGCCCGGCCGCCGGCCCGCCGCCGCCGCCGCCGTGTTCGCCGTGCACCCGGTGCACGCCGAGGCCGTGGCCGGTGTTGTGGGCCGCGCCGACCTGCTGGCCTGCCTGTTCTACCTGGCCGCGTTCCTGTGCTACACGGCGCACGTCCGGCACCGGGACAGGACGCCGGATCCTCGGCGGCGCGTCGTGTGCTGCGACGCCGGTTGCCACCGCGGACGTACCGGTTGGGCCCGGTGCGCACCGTTTTCGCCGCCCTGGGCTGGGCACGTGCCAGCGACCTGGACGGCCTGCCCGCGCGTCACCGAGTGTTGCGCTGTCCGCGAGTGGGCCTGCCTAGTGGCCACCGTGCTCATGGCAGCCGCGTCCATGTTGGCCAAAGAGACCGGGCTCACCGTGCTGGCGGTGTGCGCCGTGTACGACGTGCTGTTCGCCAGCAAGCAGTCACCGAACAAGGTGAGTTCGATGATAATTATTTTCTTAGTTTTATTTTTTTTTATCGTTATAAAAACATTTTTGTTTCTCGCTAAATGTCGTTATTAAATTGTATTCGTTAAAACCGAATGCACCGTGTACTCGCATATCTATACATCGATATGCAATCGCAATGCAGTAATTCGTTGATTTACCACTATTAATTATTATCTCTATGAGTGTAGTGTTGTTAATGAGTTATTAGAATTTACGTACAAACATTTTTTTCAAATAAATCTAAAATAATTTTAAAATTAGTATAGATACATTTAATACATAGTTGGTAGTTTTGGTACAACAACTAGTTAGAAATATAAAGATTAAGCATTAAGTAATTATTTTAATTGCTAAAAAATAGATTTTTATTTATATTATATGATTGCATTGAGAAAAAAATGCTTATTGAATTCAAATTTTTCTATATTTATTTAAATGAACCTTATACAAAAGTCATATGCTCTGTTTTCACGTTTATTGTCAAATTAATGATAAAAGACTAATTTTATTGGTTGGATTTAAGATACCAACAAGTGTGTACAACAGGTATCTCAATGGTACACCTTTATAAGTTCCTTATAGTTCGATAAAGTGGATTCTATTAGTTCTTGTCTTTAAGATATGATCTTGTTGCAAGATTTTGTTGTACCTCAAGTAGCTTGAAAATACCATCACTGTACAGCCCACCCCATATTATTAGGCTAAACTGAAAAATGTATTTTTACAGAGCATTGTATCTTCACAGTATACATATGTAACTTTTGTAGGTACGAGTATGTAAGAATTCGTTCAGTTTAAATAGCTTAAAAAACAATTATTCTTGATCGAATAACCAATATTTTCAATAGGTATTTAATTTTCCACTATACTTAGATTCCAATCAATTATTAAACACCTATGTATTCTAATCTACTTATATATATATTATATTATACGATAATGGGAGACTAGATATATTCTGCAGAAGAAAAGAATAGAATGCTAAAATTAAACTAATTACGATAAGAACTGTAATAGATAAGTGAAAAAATTGAGTATAATTTTGTCTATGGGACAACAAATTTAATACCAAATAAAATGTATCATTCGACGTAAACACTCAAATACAGGTGAATGAGAGTATAGGTTCTATTGGTTATTCTACTTATAGCTATAGAACCCATATTCAGATCCTGTACAAAGATTTTCAAAGATTATGTGGACGTGTATATACCATGTAGTCATACTACAAAGAGTTTATAATAATGTACAGATGAGGTTTATATACGATTTCATTAAATAGCACAACCGACTTATCCAATACTTACAGATATTGTTTATGTACCTATGTATAAACGCAATGTTTCCACTTTGTATGTTGGTATTTTCCAACTGTTCCTATACTATATGTAGTTATGAGCATCGCCTATTTTTAGGTATTACATAATTATCGAGTTATAATTCAATATATTATAGCTTCATTGTGTCCACTTTTGTAGCATTTAAAAAAATACATATAGACTGAAAATATACAAGTACAAAAAGTGATTAGAATCTGATAAAGAAAATATTAAAAATAATTAGAAGAAGGCAATGCATACTAAAATATTAAGAAATAACAGGCGTTCTGCCGGTTGACAATATAATTTAAAAAATATTTTTCATGTGTCATAAAATCTATGTATATCTTGAGTGTGGGAGTGTAAATAATATATTTAAAAAAAAAAAAACATAGAAAATTATATTATTATGAATTTATTAAAACGATTCAAATTTAATATATTAGATTATATTATTGTTATAAAACACCGTCGTAATATTTTAATAATATATTATTTATGTTTACAGGATTTTTTTTAACGGTATTATGTTTTCCGTTCGTAGATTGATCAATATTTTTACCCCAAAAGAAATATGAGCTTGATAAAAAATAAAAATATGCAACTTAATCAACTTCAATTCTATATTATACAGTTTTGATAGTTCTCTATATAGTTGGGGTTTCTAGCGAAAAAGAGTTATTTAACTATCGTAATCCGGGGATCGGTCATGAACTTTTATCGAAAATCGTCTGGTGTTTAAATTAACCAATCAAACCGATATTTTAGAATTTATTAAAAATACGGTTTATACATGTTATAAATAACAGAAGTATAAATCAGGGTTTCGATATATATTTTTTTTTCTGTGAGGAGAGGCTTAACTATAGAATCTCTCATAAGTATGATATGTTGAATTAGTGGTTATATAATATTTTAGACTTTTGATGCAATTTTATTAGCAAATGGCTAGTGATTCTGTATTTAGTAATACATTAATAGAATATTGAAAGTATTTTTAAATTGCCCTTCAATTTTTAGAAACTCTCCTAGCCTATGAAGATAGTGCGATGTTCATATTTAAAAATAATTATTTACTACTATACTCGAAAAAAGATTCTCTATAGTCGTCGTTTTTAGATAAAAACAGTCTAATAAAAACGTTACCATTCTATATCTGTAGTTAAATTAATGGTTTATTATTTTAACGTTATTGTGTCCACTGGGTGTTGTTTCCGTAAGTGCGTATAAAAATTATTATTATTATTATTGTTGTTTTATGCTAATGTGACTACAAAAATTATGTGGACTATATAACTTTTAAATCGAGTTCAATAATAATAATTAGCCAAGAAATAAACACAAAACAATAAATTTAAAATCATAAAATGATCGTATTTATTTCAACTAGTTATCATTCAAAATTAGGTCAATATTAGAATTGTAACTTAATTACAATTGTATTCGAAACAAAAATAATTAATTTAATTTTAGAGTTTTTAAATCTAAATTTTAAACTTTTGACTGAGGCTTTGAAAAGTTTACCACTTAAGGACTTGAACACAGACAGAGACAACTTTAACTTTTGAAAGATATTAGAGAACTCCTGTCATGATTACAAATTCCCAAAGGAAGTTTATCAAACTAATCCAATAACTAACAATTCCGATATTTTAGGAGTTTCAGTTTCATTTCCATAATAATTGTGATATTTAACTAATTAATATAGTATGAATTATATCTTTTGATTTCAATGCCACAAATATAACGAACATGTAAAATATTTTATCACTAATTTGTTTTGAGTTTTGGAACTAATCTGATAATTATGAAAGAGGAAAGTTTACAGATTTCCAAATACCCTTTTTACAATATTTTAAAAAACCGAAATGTGTACTCATGATATATTTTATTATCTGGCAGTTACAAAACATTAGAAAATTAAATTTAAACTAAAAATATTCATAATATTTTTTTCCTGATTGTGTAGAATTATGCATTTACATAATATATCAAAAATTAGAATTTTAGTTTATAAAGCTTGTTTAACATTATTTATTTACTTTGTCGTGTATTATTTCTTATGAGTTATAAAATTTAATTCTATGGACGCATAATAAATACAATTTTTTGCAAATAATATGTAAGTGTACTTAGAAATATTATCATTCATCAGTATAAAAATAATTATCATTGAAATAAATGTGCCTTAGAATTAAACGTGTTTTGTTGGTACTGTAATAACAAGACGTATATCATATTTTTTAAGTCCGCTATGGAGAAAAATTAACTAAAACTATAATATTATAATTAGCAAAAAAAAAAAAAAAATAAAAACAATAATTATATTATATTTGAATATTATACTTAAAACTGTACTAAATTAAAATCATCATTTTTATTATTTGTTAAAAATTATAAAATTTAATTATATTATCAAAAACTTAAAATAGTATTTTATAAAACCCAAAATTATACAATTTGATTGTCCAATGTGATTATAATATCAAAAGTTTCGAGGTTAATTTAAAAGTACATTATTTTATATTGAGATTTGAGGCAAAAGTTTTTATAAAATTATATTTACTGGCAGTATCATTTCCATTGTTTTACAATAAAGAAAAAGCTATTCTTAATCTAAAATCACGTCAACAAAACTTATGTCATAAAAATGTTTAGTAAAAGCAAAGTAGTGAATAATACTTAAATTTTGTAATAATTTTTTTTTTTATTATAATTAATAATATGGTAACTTTGTATTATTATTACTTAGTTATAATCGTAGATAAAGATAACTTTAACTCAAATAATTATAATCTTATAAATACAACCAGCATCATATTATATTTATTTAATATTATAACCATTTTTGCGTTCAAGTCACATCAGTTTCAATGAGCCTGTTTTTATTTTTAAAATAGATTTTCCCTGTAATGAATCCTTTAAAAGTTGTTTAAAAACGATTTTTAATTGTGCAAAAATTCTTTGCATTTAAAAAAAAAAAATTCTTCTAATTGAAAAGAATTCTTGAGAATAGTCATAAATACTTTTTAATCAAAAAAATAAAATATCATGATGAATATTTAATCCTATTCGTATTTTTAAATGGAAAAAAAACATGAACGGATTAATATCACACAGAATGTTGTATAATATTTTTTATTTAATCACTTCAAAAACATAATGGACCATACAGAACAAGTTCGTATAGAGGCCCAAAACATAGAAGATAAAGGTTCTGTAAAATAAGTTTATAACAATTGTAATTGAATAGGGCTAAGCATATAAATGAAATTAATTTTAAATACCATATAATGTATACACAATTAATTAAAAAATGTACAAAAAATGAATTGCAAAAGAGAGAAAGAAAATATAAAAATATTTTATAATATAATGATATTTCACATAATCAAACAAATTGTTTAACATAAAATATGTAAAAAAAAATTAACTATAAGTTTAAAATAACGCAAAATATGCAGTTAAAAATATTTTAAAAAAAATGCAAAATAAAAGTTCCAAAATTATATGCTTTGATACAATATGATCAAAACTTCTATAACTTTTATAAGTCATAAAATGAAAAAAATGTTAAAAAAAAAATATTTGCTACTAACTTACAGCACAAATAATAAAATGTTATAAAATTACTTATATACATGTATAATTTTCAATTACACCAAT